AAACAAACACATCTCAGCGTTGGGCATTGGCAGCAAGAAGGATCAAGGCCTACTCTGAAGCAGAAAAGGCATTCGTTTTGTTGGCGCTGTTAGGGCGTGTGGAGTCGGTGGCGACTGGCAACATAACGGAATTAGACCTACTCCTAGCCATCCTCAGTGGTTCCTAAGTGTGAGCCCGCGGTGGAAGCTGGCATCTTCTGAAAAAAAGTTCCAAAAAAACGTTTTGAGGGCGGGAAGGAAATGTTCATCCAGAAAAGCCAGAGGGAAATGCTCGCGTCCCTCTGTCAGTGCCGGCAGCAAAGGGCCCCGGGCCTCCACCGATTCAGGCCTCCACCCAGACGACCCCCATTCCCAGTGCATCCCAAAATCGGAGCCACAGGCCAGAGCACTCGGACCCCGAAAGCGTTCCTGCATCCTGCTCCCCAAACGCAACCAGATCCAGGTCCCGCGTTGGTGGACAGCCCCTCTTTCGCGGTGAAAATCACGGCACCCGCCTGCAGCATACACCGCAAGACCCCAGACCGCGAGGCCGTCCCCCCTTGATCTAGGGCCTAGACAAGGGGTTCTCAAACTTTTTAAACAGGCGGCCAGTTGGAGGGCCGAACGATAATTTAAAAAAAAACCAAAAAACTATGAACAAATTCCTATGCACACCGCACATATCGTATTTTGAAGTAAAAAACCAAAACGGGGATAAATGTCCTCGGCGGGCCGCATGTGGCCCGCGGGCCGCAGTTTGAGGACTCCTAAGGGGAACCTTGAGTCACTTAACCAGAAGAACCCCCCCAGTCACACACCTCTCATCACCGATGTTTTTTACTACGTCCGGCTAACGAGGACACCCCGACGCTTAACTCCCGGTGGTCACCCACATACATCACCCCAGGGTGACAGTCACGGTTCCCAAGGGAGACCCCCCAACCGCTGGACGGACTTCACGCAACGAGCAACAAACGCTACCTACTTCCGTGAAATGCACTCGTCGCTGGCCCCGCCCCCGAGCCAGGGGCCTACGGTGGCCCACGAGGGCCCTTTAAGTTAAGGTCCGACGGAGCGCGTTGAAAATGCGATTTCCCTGCGCTGCGTCGGCGGGAGGCCAGGTTGCGCGCCGTGCGGGAAGCACTTGGCTGTGAACCCCAAGTTTAGCCGCCCGAGCCCGTGCGCTCCCGCAACTACTGTGAATGCTTTGGAAATGCGACCGGACAGTTCTCTCCGGTCCTGGAAGGTCGCTGGTGAGTCGGGATGGACTCACAAAGGCCTGAAGTGGGATGTGTACCGTCGCCCCCACCCTCTTTGCTGGCGTCCCCGGGGGCGGCCGTCTTTGAAGACATTCCGTACAGAACGCCAACGGGCTTCTTCTTGCCACCAGGAGGCTGAGTCCCTGGCATTGACCAGTTTCTTTTTTTCATTTAAATTGTTCTAAAATTTTTAATTAAAAAAATGAATTTATTTATTTTATTAGTTGTGTTTTAATACATATAACATGTCATTCTATATTTCATATAGCATCAAGTAGCATTGTACAATTGCTGCCACAATCCGTTTCCAACCATTCTTTTTCTACGTGGACTCCTTGACGTCATCTCCCTTTTACACCCCCCATCACCCCTGTAGCCCTGTCCCGAACCCCTTATTTTACCTCTAGGTTCATCAGTCCTTGGTTTCATAGACCTGAAACATAGCTTTAACCTCCATGGACAGAACACCTCTGGGATTCACTGGACTCTGAACGGACAAAAAGCAAACAGAGCCGTCAATACAAACCAGAAATACGGAAACATTTGGACCCATTTTCTATTGCCTCAACCGTGGCTAGTCGTTCATAGGGTGGGGTTTGCATTAAAAAAGTAAATGATGTGGGGTGAAATCAGCGAGCTGGAGAGAGAGGGCGGTGACATCTGTTCACTTTGGGCAAAGTTTAGGAAAACGGCCCATGGACCCACCGTGTGAAAGGAAAAGGTTTCCAATAGCAGAGGTTTCCATCCATCAAACATCCATCAGACAACGTCCCAGGAAGAGAAACGGTTAACCGCCTTGAAATAACCAGTCTGCTGGGAGGGAGGGCAAAATATGAGGAGCTGATGCCAGGGGCTTAGATGGAGAGCAAATATTTTGAGAATGATGAGGGCAATGAATGTACAAATGTGCTTTACACAACTGATGTATGTATGGATTGTGATACAAGCTGTATGAGCCCCCAATAAAACGATTTAAAAAAGAAATACCCAGTCTGTTTCTAGCTCAAATCTACACCCCAAACCACTACCGTCCAGGAGGTTCCAATTCATAGCAACCCTGTAGGACAGAGAGAAACTGCCTCAGGGCACATCCACGGCCCCAATCTTTACAGAAACCGGCAGCCACATCTCCACCAAAGCCTTGCTGGTGGGTTCAAACCACTGAGCTTTCGGTTAGCAGAACGGCACTTTAACCCCTGCACCACCAGAGCAGTTTTCACTGTTCGGAACACACTGCTCTTAATCCACATCCATGAGAGGTTAAAGCTCGGCTTTACAGGATGTGGGAAACTGACACCCAGGGAGATAAAGGATTATACTCCCTAACTTATCACAGAGGGAATCTGGAAAGCTGGTATTCCAAGGTAAGAAAGCCTCCACTTTCCTAATTAGAGGTAAAGTTCAAGTACATGATCCTGCCTTAAATATCATTCCCACAGTCTCTCCTAACAGCGATGCTGCCTTAAAGTGAGCACATGGTTGATGTTATCTCCCTGTACAAGCGGACATCCTATTGCTATCTCCTCCCACCGTGTCACGTGTCACCCAGCCCCCTCATACCTCCCCCCAATGCAGGTATTAGGTTTCCTCACCTGTGAGCTCAGGGACCTTAATGTAGACACCACCCACCTTCATAGAGACCCAATATAAGAGGATAGAACTGCTGTTGGGGATCTCTGGGGCTGTAACTCTTCACGGGAGCAGAGAGCCTCCTCTTTCTGCCCTGGCATAGCTGTGGATTTCAAGCATCAGACCCTGTGGTTAGTAGCCCATCCGCGCATGCTCCAGGATGCAAATATGAGGTGCTTCTAGACCACCAAGAGGACCGGATAGCTTGCTAGTAATATAAGGTACGCAGCACCTGTGTGGAGTAGGGCCATGTAAGTAAAGTATATGGAATGTGGGGATGATCTCGCTCAGTATTGTCATCGCACTAAGTTTAACATGAACTGGGGAGGGGACAGAGGTAGGGGATCTCACTGCCATCAAGGACTAGCCAAGAGTAGAGTACATCCTTTGGACCCAGAATCCCTGCACTGAGAATCTTCTAGACTGTAGATAGAGCTGTGCCAACAGAGAGACAGAGAAGGGGCTGAGAAAGGTACAGCAGCGGGAACAAGCTGTGCTGACCTGTGGAACCGGACCTGAGTGCTTTGGGGCCTGGGGGCTGCTGAGGAGCATTGGAGGCACCATGGACTGCCAGAAGGACACAGCACTGTCTTGCAAAAAGGTACAGTCAGATTGTTCCTTAGAAGTGAGCATGGTGCCACTTCGTTTCACATACTTGGGACATGTTATCAGGAGCGAGCAGTCCCTGGAAAAGGCTGTCATGCTTGGTCAAGTAGAGCGGCAACGACAACGAGGAACAATGGGCTCAAACATAAGAACATGGTGAGGACGGTGCAGGATTGGCGGTGTTTGGTTCTGTTACACATAGGGTCGCTGAGTCAGCACCAATCCAATGGCACTTAATAACAACCGTCCTTGGAGAAGGACAGTCCAAACCCCAAACCCCTGCCATCAAATTGATGCTGACTCATAGTGACTCTATAGGACAGAGTAGAACTGCCCCCTGGGAGTTCCCGAGACTATAACTCTACAGGAGTAGAAAGCCTGTCTTTCTCCTGAGGTGTGGCAGGCGGTTTCAAACTGGGAACTTTGGGGATTGCAGTCCAACACATGACCACTACACCGCCATAGTCCTGCCTGGCCTGGTTTTAGTTGCTAATATGGAGCTTCTCCATTGTCTTTTCCCCAAAATGTAGTCCATTTTATTTTATTTGTATTTCATCTGGAAAATTCCATTGTCCCTGTTTGTCTTGGGGGTGGGGGTGAGGGTGGTATTTGCTGTGAACAAGTCATTGGTCTTACATAGAGTTAGCCTAACTAGCGCTGCCATAATCGACTTTACAATGCTCTCTGTCAGATAGCAAGGCTATTCTCATCCCTCAACTCTGGTCAGAGGGGATTTCCCAAAGGCTTAATCCAATAGGGATCCTGAAAATGAATGTGGGGCTTCCACTGTCATCCGTAGCTCTCTGCAAAAAGGGGCTTGCAATTCTCTCCTTCAGATTTAGATGATATTATTAACAGTCCTTGGATCACATTGGTTAGCTAGTGTGCATCTTTCACTTGGACCTAGTTGACCCCTCAATTACATGCTACTTGTCTGAAGGCAAGCCTTTAAGATCCCAGACGCTATTCTTTCTGTTAGCCTGGGTACCACCTGTTAGTGGGAGCCCCAAATCCAGGTATGTAGAGATTAGATATGTCTTTAAGAAGCCGTGGTGGTGTGATGGATCAGTGTTGGGCTGTGATCCACATGGTAGTCAGTTTGAAACCACCAGCAACTCTGTGTGAGAAAGACTGGGCTTTCTAATCCCGTAAACAGTTACAGTCTTGGAAACCCGCAGGGGCTCGTTATGAACTAGCATTGACTTCATAGCAGTGAGTTTGGTTTTGATATATATGTCTTTGGTTTGATTTAGAGATATCATTGTCATTTTATGAAAGAGAACATTCTAAAGCCCTGCCCACCCCTGGGCCATGAGGTAATTCTATTGATAGTGTCATTAATGTAGCCAATGGTGTAGAATTTAAAGCACTGTTGAAAAAAGGAAATTATACAAGTATAGGTCAACTATAAACTGGGACACATGAATCGTTGACTTACACAGATTACATTCTTTAGTGACTGGACACTATTTACACAAACAATGGGAGTTGGTGATAGAAGCAAAGCTATCAATCATATTTATTCACGACGGCAGAAACAGGAGAACCATGCCTGCCAGATTAACCCGAGTCATAATAAAGCAAGAAGGGCATTAAAGTGGTAAATATATGGTAATCCCTGGACGTGTTGGGCACCCTAAAAGTAAGATATCTGTGGCAGTTACATAATCTCCTGTCAACTTGAGTGAAGGGGTGGAGTCTAGCCTGTCAATCAGTCATAGCCAATGATGCCTCTCTGTGGGCATGGCAGTTTCCTGAGGATTCTGGGAACCCCTGTCTTCCTCCCTGAAGGCAGGACACACACTCTCTCTGCTCCTCATTCCTGTTGACAAACCACATGGAGCCACACTGATGGCAGTCAGAGCCCTGGAGCTGGAGGAGCCATGTGGAAACCCACACCAGTGCTGAGATGCTTCCGCCACCCCTGGATCTTCCTGCATTATTGCATGTGCTGTGTGAGTCTAAAGAGGAATGTATGGACTAGTCTGGGACATATGGGCTAAAATTGGACTTATGGGCTTGATCTGGACTGGGCTGCGATGTTTTCACAATATACAATTGCTCTTTGATATAAAGCTCTCTCACATATATGTAAGCATCTCTGGATTTGTTTCTCTAATCTACCCGGACTAACACAATATCCAAACCAAAGTTCAACAACTGTCAACTACATAACCTTGGGATTGCAGCCATCTGCTTCTTTTCATGCTAGAGCACTTCAACCTTAAGTCTGAGGGAGTATGTCAGTTCCTAAATCTGATGGAAGTGCATTTGAGGTAACACCCAATTCCCTCAGTGGGGTTTCCACATGTAGTCCTTTTGGTGTGGCCAATGAAGGATGTGCAACTCGAAAGGACAAGTCGATAGCACATGGCCTGGGTCCCACTAGGCCAAAAGTGTCCAATCAGGATATAGTACTGAATGCATTCTCCTCTTGGGTTCTATATAT